AGGTTAGAGTTTCAACCTATTAATTCCATACTGGAGTACTGTACTCACTGTCAGACTTAAAGATTAATCCTGATTAAACTGGACTTCTTCAGCAAGAGAGCAATAAAAACAGAAATAAAGAAAATATATCAGAAAGAGGTCAGTTAAACCCATTATACTGCTTCAAAAATAATACATTTCCTCAGTAATTAACAGTATTGGCTCAACCACCTGCCTTGATAGCCCTATAAGAAGAAATCCAAGCCATGGAGTAGTTACACTACATTAGTGGTGTTGAAATCATATCAGGATCATCCAGAACACTTCTTGAAAATGTGTCTTAATAGGCCCTACCTCCTATCTAATGTATTAGAAATTCCAAGGTCTAACTACAATGCACATGTATTTCTTAAAAATATGCCAGGTGGTTCAGGAACTTTATGATTCATTAAAAACCCAATTAAAACTCATCTAACATACCACATTAATTAAAACTGCAGCACTCTTTCCTAAATAGCAAAGCAAGGTACCAGTTAATTTTTTTCTATTTTGCCAGCATATTGGAGGCATATCTAAACTAAAAAACTACAGAGGAATTAAATCATTTTTCCTCTCCTATAAAATTATGGATACAAATCTATTTGCATGTATTATAGATATTGCAAGACAAAGTAATATACTAATGCATAGTTCGTCCGAAGCAGTTTCAGTGAAAGAAATCACACTTTTGACACATTTGAAAAAACTTTAAAAAAAAATCTATGTAAGTTAATTTTTGTTACTCTCAATAACAGCAAAAATCTTGTACGTGTTATTTTAAAATACTAATAATTCCTCCAGTGTTCATCACTTTCTGACTGAACACTGTTCCAGCACTCACTGCATACTGTAGCACTGATAACAGAAGAAAGGCTTGTGCTGCATCATGGAGTTTTAATCTGAGACAGACAAACTGATAGTAAAACAATTAGAAATAAATCTAACTATAAAAATTCACCTTAAGTGCAATACAAATGATATTATACTTAACAAAGGAGATTTTAAAATACAGAAGACAATCTCCATTTCTTTATTTTACTGAGGTAAACAGAAATCCCTGCCTCATTTGCTTTTAAGAATAGCTGAAAGGGGCCTGGGGATTTAGCTCAGTGGTTCTGGCACCTGCCTCGCAAGCGTAAGGTCCCGAGTTCGATCCCCAGCACAAAAGAAAAAAAAAAGAATAGCTGAAAGGTAAAGTTACTGAAGTTACTAAATGTTTTATGATTGCATAGACAAGTATCCCTTTTAGGAAATATATACATTTAAGTACTTAAAAGATAAGGAGATACAGATAACTTACACTCAAGTGGTTAAAAAAAATGTGTTTGTGTGTCTGTGTCTAGAGAGAGAGGGATGGGCAGAGATAATGACAAAATGAATGGAATAAAATGTTAACCAATCTTGATAGAGGTACAGATAGCTTTTTAAATATTCTGTTTTTGGAATGTGTCTTCATGTGTAAACCTATTTACAAATAAGTTTTAAAATGTAGGAGAAGGAAGGTTAAAAAATAGCAAAATGTTGATCATTCTGGAAGACACATTGTGAAGGTAGATAGTTCATTCTACCACTCTCTACTTCTGTATATCTTTAAAATTTTGCATACTAAAACATGAAAAAAAATTGACTAGATAAAAACATGTATATAAAGAACTAGTACAGTACCTGGAAAACAGAAGGCATTCAATAAATGACAGGCATGGTTATTACAATTGAACTCATATATCTTGAGTGTACATTAAGTATTAGCTTTTAGTATTTAATTACATACAAGTATTTACTGACAGTCGATAGAGGTAAGGTGCTCCACCAGACACTACAGTGAACATCCACACAAGAAGCAGAGGCCACATTTACAACTCAGGTGGTCAAAATAATGAAAGGCAAAACAGCAAAGGATTAGAAGTCAAAGAAACTAACCTCAACTACAAGCATCACCTCTTTTCTCTGTGATTTTAAAATAATAAAACAACAGGAATATTTATCTTTCATATTTAAAAAGCAGAAACATCTATTTTATATAGATGAGATCACTGAGAATAAAGTGAGACACTCAAAAAGTACCCTTGTAAACATGGAAATGTTACATAAATGTTAGCTCTCATTTTAGCCTATGTAATACCAATGTGGGAAGAATGAAGCTTGTGTTTAAGTAAATAATACACAGTCAAGTGGTAAGCGCCACAGTAAAAGATCACATCTAGCTAGGAGAACAAGGGAAGGCTTTGTGGAGAAGGTGGTACTCAAGATGAACCTTAATGGATGGGTGGGTAGAAAATCCAGAGTCATCAAGAAGCGAAACTAAGACTCAAGCAAAGGCATGAAAAGGGAAACTGTCAGGAAGCACGAAGTAATAAGACTCTTCACTAGTCTGGGAAACAGTAGAAAAACCAGAAATACATCTGTAAAAGTAAGTGAAAAGAAACTGGAGAGGCCTTGACTGACTCAAGAGGCTCCAGGTATATGCCTCACTATGCATTCAGACCCCTGTTCTAGAGCAAAACTTCTCCTCCCCCCATTGGTGTCAACAAAGCTGTACTATGCAAGACTGAATTTTTAAAATAAGGCACCCAGTTTCAAAGGAAATAATTTTGTAAAAACATACAATACACACTCTGCTATGAAAAGAAGCACTTTCTATATCCAGGAAAAATCCCATCACAGCAAAAATGAATATAATCCAAAAGCTTATAATTTATATTTGGCTTTAAAATATATATTTTATTCAAGGAGAAACTTACAAATCATATTTTTGAAAGCCAAAATTAAAGTAAGAAAATTCTTTAACTACCAACTAAAAAAAAAAATCATCAAAAGTGATCACACAACTTAAGTCAAATTTTGTTAACTTGACTGACTTTATGGAATGTTGCTTAATTAGATGGCTATGATCTTTTTTACATTTTATTTTGCCCACATACATAGCTGCATTTTTTACAATGTCCTTTTGTTGTTTTCATAATCTTTTGAGTCATATGTTGTTAAATAGTGAATCCATAATCATTCCATCTTGATTTATGCTTTCACATGAATAAAGCTTTAGGAAAAGAATTATGCAAAATGTCTTTGTGACTAGAGCAGTGATGGCAAACCTTTCAGAGCTTTCAATGATTAACAATCAGCCAGCTCCAGCACATGTGCCATAGGTTCACCACCACTGGACTAAAGCATGCTAAAAACCATAAATCTATTTTAATGTCCTTAAATGAATATATTAAATGTTAAACTAGTGAAAAAATAGACCATAAAAAATATGAAAGTTATATCATCCATCTCAACCCCAACCTCACTTAATAAACAAGGAAACTGAGAGGAAAATTAAGAGAGCTCCTTATGATATGCTCCTAAGTACATACTCATAAACAGCTGTGAAATTTAAAATTCAAGTTTTCTGGTACCCAAGAAGACAAATGACACCACACAACACTGGAGTTACTTTTTGATACAATACATAACTGGGGGGAAATAACTGCATACAAATCTCTTTACTTAAAAAAAAATTGCTAAGTATTACCATTGTTTTGAAGAAAGCAATTAATGAACTTACTTCCCCTCAAAATTCTGCCTATATTAAAATATTAGAAAATGTTCAGCTTTTAAGTATTTATACCACATTAATGATCAAGAAAAAGAAAGAAAAGTAAAAATGAAACACTAATATTAATTAAATCTTCCATGGGACCCAAAAAGCCACCTGTGTTCTGTCTTTGGAGGTCACAGATGAACTGTACACACTTGCCCACCTGATAATGCAGGCACTACATAGGAGTAACTTGAAGAACCAATGCAGGTACAGCATCTAAGCAAGCTGCCACCACCACAGACAAGGGTTTACGTGACTACAATGTATTTAAATTCATAATATTAAAAGAAGTCAAAGAAAGGCAAATCATCAATCTGTTCCTTAAATCAGCTAAACAAGCCCACCATTTTTTTTTTTTTTTTTTTTTTTTTTTTGGTACCAGGGATCAAACTCAGGTCCTTGTGCTTGTGCAGCAGGCAGCGAAACCACTGAGCTAAATCCCTGGCCAAGCTCACTATTTTTTAAGGAGAAGTTATCAAGCCTCATCGTCTAATAAACTGCCACATAATACTGCTTTTTGCTATCACACTGATGCTCTGCTATGTGAGCATGGGGAGCATGCCCAAGCCTTAATTCCACTGTGGAAACCAGCTCCATCTGGACCCTGAACTATTGAGTATGGAAAGAATATACTGCTGGCTTAGTAAGAGTATAGCACCTGTGCAGACCTGATGACTGCCCAAATGTTACTCTAGTTTTTATTTCTCTGTCAGAATAAAGCGAAAGTTCAGCTTACATAACCATCTATGACCATGGCCTCCCAGGCTGACAAAGGGGAGGAGTACTCTGCACAGTACTTGGGTGTCTTCAGGTCTGAACCCCGTGAAGCAGAAATGAGGGCTTACTGTAAGGAGGAAAGAAAGGTCTTTCTCAGCTATCACATTTGCTTCCAATCAGACAAAACTCAAGATTGCACCACTTCAAAGTTCATTATAAAACTCTTCCGAATGTGCTAATTTGTCACTGAACAAATGAAGTACTGAGTATAATAGAAAAAGTACTCTTAATTAGTCATATAAAATCCTAACCAATAAAGCTTCTGAAATAGAAAGGTTTCCTCTTGTAACACAAGCAACAAAAAACTCCCAAAGGCTTAATTTTATGTATACTACATACCTACAATGCATGTAATATGCACATTTATGTATGAAACATTCTCCTTCAAAAATGCTGTTCTGTAGATAAATAACCTATTCAGTATTTGCATATGTTTAACATCAACCACTGCACAGAAAAGAAAGATTAATATTTTAATTACTTTCAGTATATCATATTTAGCCAGCTGCACAGACCCAATATAAATGTTAAAAGACAGCAGCCAAGTGAACAGAATTTCTTATGCCTAATTAGACAAAATGTTTGTACATCTAAGAAGTGAAAAAAATCTGACAGATCTTACTTGCTACTCCTGATGCCAGTCCATAAAGCAGTCCTCCTCCATCCGACTGCTGAGGGAAAACATGGGATCCTAGAGGTGGTGGCTTTTCTTGTCTGATAAAGTTATATAATAAGGTTTTCACAAGTTTGCTGGTGTATGGAAGACTACACAAAAGAAAAAAAAAATCAAACCATTTTATGGGATTCACCTAATTCTGCATAATACAGAAATAATTCTCCCATTAATACTGACTAAAAGAAATCTAATAGTGTCACATAACAGGCAAGACCATGGGAACTGAGGTCCAACTTGAGGCTTTGCCTCATACCACAGCAGAACACACTGGTCAAATCTTTAAAAGTCTAGACCAGCAGTAAACTTATTTGCAATTTAAATAACATTGTGAGATACTACTAAATTTAGTGCATAATACAGTATCTGGCACCTTAAGATAGTAATGTAGAATCAGAAAGAAAAAAGAATTTTAAAATAATGAGTATACTTTAATATGAAATTGTTCAATTTACTCAATTATTTAATTAACGATAAACCAATTCCTCCAATCTAAAGTAAAATTTTAAACAGAGTCTTGAATATATTATTGAACTTTTAAAAATATAGCTTTAAGATGAAGCACAAAAATCAGTAAAAGAACATATTATATTCTAAGTATTTGGCACCATAGTGATACTGTGAAAACCTAATGTCTTAGAAAATAAGAACACTAGCCTTTCTTAGGTCTATTGAAAAAGCAACTTCAACACTTCTGGCACTAGAAGGAACAAGGTTCATAATCTTATTTTAACAAAGGTGTTTAAAAGCCTTAAAATGCCAACTACTACCTTAAACCAGGGTCATTCTGAGTGCCACTGAGAAAGGTTTAGATGCAAATCTTCCATCTCCAAAGCCAAGGCTCTTTCCCTCTTAGTAATTTTCAAATATGTTCTACAATGGTTTAACATGGCTCATCTCCTCTGCAACTTGTGGAGTTTAATCCTCGTTGTGAGGTACTAAGAGGGTGAAAACAATCTGATTCTAGCATTTAGAGATGAGGCTTTAGGGAATGACTGGGATTAGATAAGGATATCAGGGTGGAGTCCCCATGATGGAATCCTGGGGGCTTTAAAAGAAAAGAGAGAAAACCAGAGGAGGCACACACATGCTCTTTGTCTCTTGCTATGCGATGTCCTGTGATGTCTCAAGATTGCCAGCAAGAAACCCATTACCAGTTGTGGCCCCTCAACCTTGGACCTCCAGAACCGTAAGCCAAAATTATGTCTGTTTTCTTTATAACTGACTCCATCTCTGCTATTGTGGTATTAGCAACAGAACACTTAGACATGTTCCAAAGAACTCTAAGGGATGCTGTGAATGTGCAATAGGTATAATCAAGGTAGGAAGAAGAACACAAAGAAGACAAAGCTCCTCTCCCACCTGATAACTTTAATCAATGCTATTTTAAAGTTTTGTGACGTTTATGTCAATAGAAGTTTGTAATGTGTGTACATAAGATAGATCAAAATATATGGTGAATTTTAAAAAATTTTATTGCACTAAAACATATTGCCATTAATCCTCCCTCAGAATACTCCCCCTCACTTTGAACACACTTATTCCATCATTTGTACTACTTTTTGGAACAGTTCTGGAAGTCCTCTTTTGTCAGTGTCTTTATGAGGTATGATCAAGAATACAGTGAATGCTGCTGTAGCATGCCATCCGATTGAAAGGCAGGCTTATAAAAGCATTACAGTGTGTCCTCGTCCACTTTATTCACTGGATCTAGTACTATGTGACTGCTAGATCTTTCCCAAAGTCAAAATAAAAACATTTTTAATCAATTCAGGACATTGAGACAGCCATGACAATACAACTAAGGACATTCATATAAGAGGACTTCCATTACTGCTTCAGAAAGTGCCAAGAATAATAAGTGTTTTGAAGTGAGGGGCAATATTTTGAGGGGGATTGATGGCAAAGTGCTTCTTACTATAATACATTTTTAAAAATTTAAACATTCACTGTATTTTTCAATCACACCTCATATTTAATATTTATCTATTCTTATCTCCACCTCTAAGAGACTATAAGCCTTGGCTCAAGAGCACAGCCCAAGCCTAACAAATGACCAGTACAGTGTCAGCACACAATAAATATTTGCTGGTTCAATGAAAGTAGGAAGTGTCAGTTGGCATTATCCAAACACATGATCACAAATCATGGATTACGGTACAATCAGACTTCATATCTCAGAGCCCAGCATCCTCAGGCACCATATCCACAAACCCAACCAACTGCAAATCGAAAATATCCAGGAAAAGAAAAAAACCTGCATCTGTACTGAACACGTACAGACTTTTCCTGTCATTTCCCAAACAATGTAGTATTATCAGTTATTTATACAACATTTACATTGTATTAGCTATTATATATAATCTGGAGATGATTTAATGTATCAAAGAGGATGTGCACAGATTATACATATTTTCTATTAAAGACTTGAGCTCTGAAGATTTGGTTATCTTTGCAGGGCCCTGAAACCAATGCCCTGTGGATACAAAGAACAACTGTAGTTTCAAAGGTACTGTTGAGAAGGGATAGATACAAAAACAATTTGAATATACAAATATGACCTGATTATTACTTGAAGTATGAAGGAGAAAGAAGAAAAAGATGATTTCAAAGTTTCAATTCTACAAAGCAGCCTCTAGCAACAGTAACTGAACCATGGGACTAAAAGGATAAGGAGGATGTATAGTTTTGACAGGAAACAGAAGTTGATCCCTTATGTACTGGGTGTGAAGTAACAACCAGAGGAAGTGCCTGGTTGGAGATATGAGACAAAACTCAGGTAAGGTGACAAGAACAGAAATTTGAACATTGACAAATGTAAAATAGAAACATACCATGGACCTCGCATTAAATACTTGTGACTGATGCTCTGTCGCAAAACTTCTTTGTGGAAGAGTTGGCAGGAAAGGAAAACAACCATTGTTGATATAGCCTCCACTGATATTTCATATGTTATATCTCTGGAGAAATGGAGAGAAAACAGAATAAAGACCACTTCAAAAGATTTAAGATACTCCTCCTTTCTAAATAAACTGTGTAATAAAAATTCAAATCTACATATCAATAATTTCATATTATTTAAAAAACTATTATGTTTAATATAAGAATTATGCCAAACATAAGTATCAGATCTTTTGCCAGTCATTGGCTCTTATATTTGAATCCAATATCCCATTATTTTCGTACTTCCCCTTTCCTGCCTTCTATTGAAGGACATGTTTATTAGTATATATGGAAACAGTTACCAGTAGTTTTTTCCTTGAAAATCCATTCTAGGCCTCTATGTTCATCTCTGTTTAGTACAGAACAACCACACAGACTGAAGAAGTCAGTGTAGGGCAGAAAACATTCCCTTTTGAAGTTGATCATCTCTTTTACTCCGAATAATGGTGCGCACACAATACTTTGTCTCTCGTGTGTATTTTTTCGAAGTCAACTTTGCATATTCACCAAGTTATTAACAGTAAACAGGTTATTCCAATCTTATTAAATATATTTTTGTTAGAAACTATTACCAGCTGCCCAGTCCATAACACTGATCCCACAAAGTGGGAAAGGCATTGTGAAAAGGAAAAGGCTTTATTCAGAGCTAATTCCAAGGAGATAACAAGGAAATTCTAGAACCGAACCAAGTTATTGAACAAATGGACTTAATAGATGTTTACAGAGTGTTCCACCCCACAAAATCAGAATACACATTCTTTTC